TGGAGTCTTCAGGATCCAGGGCTCTGGAGTCTTCAGGATCCAGGGCTCTGGAGTCTTCAGAATCCAGGGTTCTGGAGTCTTTAGAATCCAGGGTTCTGGAGTCTTCAGGATCCAGGGCTCTGGAGTCTTTAGAATCCAGGGCTCTGGAGTCTTTAGAATCCAGGGTTCTGGAGTCTTTAGAATCCAGGGCTCTGCAGTCTTTAGAATCCAGGATTCTGGAGTCTTTAGAATCCAGGGTTCTGGAGTCTTTAGAATCCAGGGTTCTGCAGTCTTTAGAACCCAGGGCTCTGCAGTCTTCAGGATCCAGCGCTCTGGAGTCTTCATTGTACCATTCTCCAGAGTCTTCAGGGTCCAGAGCTCCAGTCTTCAGGATCCAGCGCTCCGGAGTCTTCAGGATCGAAGGCTCTGGAGTCTTCAGTGTCCCGTGCTCCAGAATCTTCATGGTCTCTCCCTCCAGATCCTCCGAGAGGATCCAGGTAGAAGCCTCTCACTCAAGCAGTTCCGAGAAGGTCCAGGAGAACGCCTCTGCGCCGCCTGTCCCTGAGGGGTCCCACAACGCCTCTGCTCTATCTGCCTGAACTATTTTCTTTTCTGGGCTGTCCCTCTGAACATGTCATACTTTCAGACACCGGGGTCATTATTTTATGCTCAAGTAGCTGAGAGTCATCTCTAACATACTCTGAGATCTAACAGATCAGATGACATCTGTTTTTATTTGTGGGAAACAGGCATCCTTTAAAATTAATGCTACTATTGTGTTTTTTAACATCTTATCTTGTTCTATCTTAATAAAAACTACATCATGTATCAATAATATATCAGTTCTAAATAAAAAAAGCACTATAAGTCTTTGAAAGCTACTATTGTAAATACTGTAAAACTTCTAATCGTCTTGTTTACAGCTTTAAACTAGTCTCTCGTTGAACATTACAAACAATATAAATGTGAGAAAACGCTCAGTAGAGCAGCTGATTCCTGGAACAGCTCTTACAGCTCGTTTCTGATCAACCCATCTCTGTGGGCAGACAGGATTTCCCATTAGAAATAAATCCAACAGCTGATATTCGGGAAAGACGGTATATCTTTAGGGTCTCGATTAGCGCTCCTGTTTGAGAGGTTTTCTCATAAGACAGGTGAGTTGTTGTTGTTTTTTTAAGAGAAAAATTCTACTTCTCCAGTTTTAATTAAACTTCAGGCAGCTGTCGTCAGATTAATGCGTCTGTCCAGACAACCCAGCGCTGACCTCGGAGCTGCTGCAATTTGTGTGCACAACAAAGGTTGAAATCTGCAGCAGGAGCCTGATGGACCGCAGGGACTGTGGTTATCAGCTCAGGAGATAGATGCCTGCGGGCTGAATACACAGGGCACACATCCAGGCTGAACCTTCTGCAGCCAGGGAGCGAAAGAAAAAAGGAAATGCTTGAAAAACACAACGATCCCGAGGGGTGATGCGTTTGAAGTCACCCTTCCACTATAAAACACATCCCAGTCAGTGTATCGTCAGCTGGACGCTCAGCTCGAACCGTTTCTGTTTAGATGTTAAAACAGAGTTTTAAAATTAATGTGATAAGTTCCGTTTAATTCACAGAAAGGATTAATCAGATCTTGGGCTTCATTTAAAGCCAATCTTGATCAAAAAGAGGGGAAAAAAGGATTTACACACGATTTTATTGATCCGATTCAACATGGTCAGGACAGGAAACCGACAGAACACAAAAATGACCGTAATCAGATAATTTTACAAATGTTAAGATAAAATCTGGTGTGGTAGTGGCTAAAAGTCGTTCTCAACAGACTCCAAGTGCTTCTTCTTGTGCAACGCCTGATGAAATCCTTTGGATCAACTGTTGGAGTCCACCATGTTGGCAAAATATCTCACGGAGCACTGGATGAATCTTAATGAATCATTCATCAAGTAATTACTGAATGTACTTTAACAACCAGTTGACTTTTGAAGTCCATTCAATTCAAGATGGAAGCCAGGAAGCAAACACAAAACTGGCTCTAACTCGAGTTAATTTTATGGACATTGAGCTGTAAGTCAACTTTATTTATAAAGCACGTTTAAAACAGCAGCTGTTACCAAAGTGCAATAACATCAATGAGAGTAAATTAATGGAAAAAATAAAAATAACTTGATGCTAGTAGCTGAGAGTCAACGAGACAACTGTGTCTCATTAAGAATAATCTGTATAAATAAAGGAAACTAAATTCATTTCAATAGATGAATGAGTAAAAATTAAAGTCCTGGCCTTCCTTGAAGTAACACATATCACCAGCTACCTTAAGACTAAGATCACCTCAGGCTGAAAAATGACCACATCGCATGCGTTACGCTCAGAACTTGAGAATAAATAAACTATCTCATACGTCTCATCGAGACATCACGCTCAGCGTACGTGTTGTGAATGACTCTCAGCTACTACCATACATCATTTTAGCTCAATATCTGTGAAACTAACTGAGCTATGGCCAATTTTGTGCTGGTTAATGTTGATTAGCTGTGACAGCCATCTTAAATTGGAATACCTTCAAAAATTAATCAACTGTAACTGAACGTCTTATGATTATGTTCCGAGAATTTTTATTAAAATCCACCCAGTTCATGAGATATTTTGCTAACAGAAACAAGCACCGAAGGCTAAAAACGTTATTGCCCACCTTTGCCTTTTGGGTTATAATTATTTGAATTAAGGCTCTGACTTCTGTTGATTTTACGTCACATTTAGAGCATGATTATAGTGACGAAGCCAAATTAATTCAATAGCAAAAGACACAAAATAAAACATATTTTTGCCCTTTAAGCTTTAAAACAGTGTTGCTTTGAGCAGAGTTGTCATATATAAAGCTGGGCCTCCAGCCTCTCTTTCCTGCCTCGATGTATTGAGTAAAGTGCAGGATCTGAGGATGTTTTCTTTAGATTAGTGGTATTACCACCTTGGACTGCAACGTTTTTACAGAAAATCCGCTGCTTCAAAACCACTCGGCTCTCCTCCTCATGTGCTTTAAAATCAAAAACCGCCGTCAGCCACACTGCAGGGTTTAACCTTGGAACTAAACCCAGGACTTATAGCGTACGTGGTCACTGACAGGTCGGTTAAGAACTTTAAAACGTTCCATTCGAAACAGACAAGAAGGAAGGAAGTGAGTCAGACGACCCTGAAACCTTTAAAATATTTATTTTGCTGCCATCTGACAACTTTTATTTCCATTAAACTAAATTATAACTTAAAATTAAGCTATAATTAGAAAAAAAAGTTGTTGTTTTTTTACAAAAAATGTATGAATGTGCAACTTTAGATTGCTAACATGTGCAAACAACATTAAACTTATATTTAAACAAAAACCCTGGGAGGTTTATTTAGTCTATTACAGCAATACGCTTTATAATATCCCACCTGAGAAAAACCAGACCCAACAGCGTTAAAAAACACATGTAGGTGGGAGAGAAAATGTTTAAAATGAAAGTGATCAAAATACTCCCACTCTAAAGTATCTATGCCAACATGTAAAATTGTAAATTGCAGGTGTTTGTTTGCTCGACTTCATAGTAAAGGTGTCTCAGTTGAACTTTTACTTAATAAATGCACTTCAATGGTCAAATTAGCTGCATTTCACCGGGGTGGAACAGCGAAATGAAGCTGATTTGATAGTTGCTCCATGCAGCTGGACAAAGGTGGCAGTGTATGGCAAGCCGATTGTGCCATTAATAGCCACTTTTACCTATTACATGACACGACGACATGTCATACTACTTGAGTGCCATCTAGCGGCTGGAAATGATATTGTTCAATATTTTCAGTCAGAATGAATGAAAAAGGTCATATCTCAATAAAAATTGGTTTATAAATATGGGGGGGGGGGGGGGGGATCCATAAATACGTCGCTTCGGTGTATAAGTTGCAGGGCATGCAAATTATGCAAAAAAACAAAATAACAAGACTTATCGGCCGAAAAATACAGTACTCGCAAAAAAAACATTAAAAACTGTTTGCAGTCCAGATGTTTGTCGGTACCCTTACAGCTCATTGAATCAATGCTTCATTTCACACTCACACTTTTTTTAATCTCAAAGTGAAGAAATTTTGATGTTACAGTAGCTTGTCTACATAAAAAAAACACCCTATTATAAAAAATATATATATAATACAGCCGACAGTGTTAACTAGAAGGTTCATGGGACTGTAGCCAACCTCCCAGGGTGCGGACGCAAGAGGAAATGCAACCCCAGGTTGACCAGATGGATCATTTAAAGGCCAGAGGAGGAGAAGAGTAACAAAAAATAACAATTCAAGCTGAACTTCAAGTTCAAGGTTGGACACTAGCTGGTCACACCAGTTGCATTTTGAATGATAATGGGGAAAAAGACCAGTGTTGCCAAGTCCGCTTATTATAAGCGACTTTGGGCTTGTTTTTTTCTAAAGTCGCTTGCAAATGTTTGCGTTTTTTTGGGCTTGTTTTTGTACATGAAGCCGCTTATTTGGGCTTGACTTTATTTCCGAGTGAAACTAGTTGATTATCTCCCATCTCCGCACAATAAAGCAAAAGACGAGTGGCTGGTAGATTATCCCATCTTCGCCCCCGTTTCCTGTTTATCGCTCCCGCCCAAATTGGCGAGGAGGCGCACACTTGTGTCGTCACTCGTCTTTTCACAACACAGCAAGCAGCCATGCAGTAGCCGCCCGCAGCCACCAGAGAGCCCAAAGTGAAGAGACCATGAGCTCCAGTAAGTGGGGAAAATATGGAAAAAAATATAATTAGGAGTGGGAGAAAGAGAGCACACTTAAAGAATGGATTCGACCTCAGATGGGAGATGTGTCAAGGCATTCTGTAGGTTTTGCAAGTGTGAAATACGTGCTCACCATGCTGATTTAATTCAGCATGCCAATACTGAGAAGCACAAAAAAAACTGTGCACCCTTCTCCTCCATGAGGCTCACAAACATGGGTTTCACTGCCCCAAAACACAGTGAAACAAAACAAAGAAATGAGCTAAAAATAGCCACCTACATAGCCTGTCACACATCAATCAGTGCTGTGGACCATCTTGGAGAACTCATTGGACATTTAAAAAAGTTTTTTTTTTTTGTTGACTGTGTTTACTAGTTTGCTGTTACATGTACCTTTTTATTTAGGACAGCTCAGAACATCCTTGTAAAATAGATTGAATATCTCAATGGATTTCTTCCTGGTTAAAAAAAAAAGTTATTTTATTCAAAGTGTTTAGCATAATTTTGCTGTTGTTTATGAGTAATTCCATAATAAATATGTTTGTACTGTGTTAAAACGGCCTATGTTTTACACAATGGTGGATTGCCAGTTGGGCTTTTTTTAAGAGCCGGTTGCTCGTTTCTCTCGCGAGATCTGGCAACACTGGAAAAGACCCTGGAAGCTCCACTGCATACAGAAACACACAAAACAGACATGGGTTGGAATAATTTATGAATTTGTTGACTAACAAAGTTTGTGGGATTAATGAAAAAAAAAAAAAAACTTGAGCTTTCCGAGTTTTCCAATTGTTATTAATCTTGTGGGAGAGTTCCATCACAATTATCTGCATCTGTGTGTATTTATAAGACAACTTAACAAACTGGCTAATTAAGATCTAAAAAGTAGGAACTTTGCGTCGAGTAATTTTCATTCAGGACTAAATAAATACCTTGTAAGACACGGAGCACTTCTGTGCCAGTTCCTCAGTGTCAGATGAGACCAGGTCCTCCACTGAAACGACAAGTTAAAAGTTACTTTTAACCCATTTACAAATTAACTGAACATTAAATCGCACAAACCTGTTCGAACATCAGCAGCTCGCAAACTCCGCAGCAAATCTTCATCCAGTCCAGGACACATTCCCTCTCGTAGAATCACCATTCTTACATTTCTAACTGCTCGTTTAATAAAACTTTAGTAAAACAAACAACCAGGAAGCATCATAAACGCGGACAAACCAGCTCCAGCTAGCGAGAGCTTGTTTTTAGCTTTGCGGCTAACTTTAGCGGTTTTCTGCCCGTAGCTGGTCGTTTTTGAGACGGAATAAACGACTTGTTGAAGTTTCCTTCAGAAGGTTTAGAGAATGAAATATCTTAATAGCAGATGAAAGCACCTCCCCGAAATGTAGCGAATATAGAGTTCATTTCTGATCGTAAAGCTGCACATGCAGCAGTGCTCAAAGGGAAACTTTTTTTCCCTTGTTCTTGCCGTAGTTGCGCCAAGTTCTAACGTATGGCATTTTGGGTAATGAAGTACATTCACCCTTTAGGCGTTTAAACGTCTTTTATTACCGTTTATGAACCATTTATGAATTTAAGTGTTATTTTAAAAATGTGTTTATATATTTTTACTGTATTTTACATAAACATAAACAAACTTTAAGAAAAAACTACATTTCCATGCACAGTTTTCACCATGTGTTTCTGTCGACATATAGGCCTACCAGTTATTGCAACGATAAATCCTGCATGAAACCGTGCTAAGATCAAATAAATCTATGAAACAGAATGCACCAAAGCCATAAAATGAGAGTGTTTGTCTGGCAAAAGTCTGCATGAACGTTTGATTCTTGAGCATAAATCTTAAAACGAGCCAGCAGCCGTAAAATAGTCACTAAGTCATCCCCACCAGATTTAAACAAAACTCAAAAACCTCCATGAACGTGGTGAGGGGAGTCAAACTATATTCTGTTAGGGTTCTTTAAAAAATATATATATATTATTTTACACCAGGAGGTAACTTTTATTTTAGTGTTTCTAATTATTTTTCCTAATCTCCCTTTCACAGACAGGTGAGTTGTTTAACCTGTTTAAACACTTTGGAATTGCTTATGAATAATAAGTCAAATTGGATTTATTTGATATGATATCCTCTGGAAGGAAGGGGAAATTATGATCCTTCCAGGGCTCAATTTAGGACCCTACAATGATAATTAATATGCTAATACAATTCCACTCTAATTGCATTAAATATATGAAAGAGCGAGATAATTAATTATTTGACCGAGACTGGATGAAGTAGAAAATGACGTTTTATTTTGTGATCGCGGCTTGTTTTTGCTATTTAATTTAGATTTTGTTGGATTATGCTGGGACTGCTCCACTGTTTGGGGAAGGTAACAATAGTGACCACCTTTTTTACTTTTCACAGCAATTACTGCTTTTATCAGAGAGCAGATTGGATGGATTCCAAACATTAATATTAATATTTTAAGAAAAGATCTTGTGAAAAGAGTAGCACTTGGAGTTTAGGCTGTGGATGACTGTCAGCTACTACCACACCAAATCCCAGCACAATTCATAGAATTATTGCAATATTTATTATTATTGTAATATTTAATATTATTTATTGTACTATTTCATGAAATATTTTGCTAACAAACGCACAGAGCTGGAAGTATGAACTTTCCGAAACGCTCTCTGTGTTTGACAAGACAAAGCCAGAGAATTATTTTAGGTGCAGCAGAGAGGAGACGAAGAGGCGACGACACCTGCGCTCGCCACCGAGCACGAGTTCATAAACTCCATTTGAAAGAAACAAACTTCAGACGTGTCTGTGGTATAAAAACACAAACACCTGCACGATGTCAGCACATCAACCCTGGAGAATAATTCAAATAATGGCTCCATGTGCAACACAAAAAGCAACTTTTACTTTTTTGACTCATTTTTACAAACATGCCTCTGGCATTTGAGTCGACTGCTGAAAGCTTTCGCTGCAGCGGGGAGCTTCAGACGAGACACGTCTGTCTAATAGATCGTTGTTTTAAATAAGACGTGTGAAGCAGCTCTTCAGAAGCAAAATGCCAAATGACAATTTCCCTTTAATATGGAAGACGGACCAGAACCATGCTGGTTTTAGAGCCTGATAAAGTGCTTTTATAAAAAAATATATATATTTAGAGTCCGGTCAAGCTGATGGTGCTGCTGCAGGAAAAATCTTTGCAATGGCCATAATAATAATAATTAAAAAAAATATATAATTGAGTTTTTTATAACAGGATATGCTTTAGATTTCACAGGAAACAGTGAAAATTGGTGAAATTTTAACTTTATTTTCTCTTTAACATCCCATTTAATGACGGACTTCTTCCCTTCAGATGGGTTTCCTCATCAGACTGTGAATGTTTTTTTAATGGTCACCTCATATAAAGACATTGTCTTATTTGCCATGAGTCAACACCTTTATGTTAAAATATATTTTAATAAAACTTAATAAATCTCCACTGCAGCTGATCTTTGTCCCCTGATGAGTGGAAAAGCTGAGGCAGAAGGATCATTCTGTTTGTGACGTTTTAATCTCTTTCTTTAGAAAAGGGGTTTAAAGTTTTAGATAATTATTGATTTACTTTCAATCCACCAGTTCAGATACTGGATACAGATACTTTCAATTCAGATATATTATGTCCTGCATGCTTAATAATAATAATAATAATAATAATAATAATTAGTGATATTAATTAACCAAGCATGCATGTTCTGGGTAAAAAACCAAGCAGGTGAATTATTGCATTATTATTGTATTATTATTATTATTGTTGTTAATTAGATCAGATCTCATATTTCTGAGAGCCAGATGGAGACAACAGCTTTCATTGCAGGAACTCCAGACGGATAAGATTAATTTTACAAGCCTGTCCGTCAAACAAAGAACTGGAAAGAAAAACAATAAATGTGAAGCAGAACCTCTTTGTCTTTTTCCTGGCAGCTGCATTTCTAACATCCTTCTACCAATATACCCACTGTCCCTCCTCTGGACATGTCCAAACCACTGTCCCTCCTCTGGACATGTACAAACCATCTCAGTCTGGCCTCTCCAACTTTATCTCCCAGCTGTTCAACCTGAGCTGTACCTCTGATGACCTAATTCCTAATCTTTTCCATCCTTGTCACTCCTAAGGAAACACACAAAACATCTACCTTCCTTCTCAGCATCATGCCAGCCAGCTCTCTACCTTTGCCTGTCATTGTCCCCACATTTAGAGTTGCAACCCTCAGTCCTACATTCTTCACTTTCCTCTTCTCCCTCTGCCTCCTGACACGTTTCCCTCCTCGTGGTCTTCGACTAACAGTAACACAATTTCCTCCGGCACCCTGTAACAAAAAAGTTGATTATTTTAAAACATTCTGAGTCTCAGTAAAGTGTTCTGATGCATTTTTTTTTCTGAAATCTTAAAACAACTAAATGATGTGAACTAAGTAAAACTTCTCAGAATCAGCACAGTGGTGAAGTGGTTAGAGGGTGTGGCCTCACACAAAGGTCGTCACAGGTTCATAACCCGGCTCAGGCCTTTTTGTGTGGATTTGTATGTTCTCCTCGTGCAGATGTTTCTGCAGGTACTTCAGTTTCCTCCTGCACGTTTTGTGAACAGATGAGTCTAAACTGTCACTTGTGGTGAGAAGAAAGTGAGATTATCAGCCGAAGGAGACCCTCAAAGCACATTTCCATTTGAAGAAGATGGAGAAGCACGTCACATTCAGCTACAAGTTGAAGAAAACTGACACTTTGAATCTATGGGAAGAATTGTGCTTTTTATTAAAGTTCAATTTATTTTAGCCATTTATTTCAGGAAACCATATATTTAAATCATGCAGTTTAAATGAAAAACTTTGAATTCAGACGATGCACGTGACTCAGATGTACATTTTTCTCTGACTTCTGCTGGAGCGCTGCTCGGTAGGTGCTCAGTCTAAGATGGTGGAGCAGCTTCGTCAGTTTCCATCCATCCCACTCTAAAGGTCAAGCCACTGACACGATACGAGGTTAGACCGTCTTCTCTGCTCGGTTAGGCTAAGAATGTTCACATTCCACTTGATGGAAATAGGCGCCAGCTTTTCTGTGTGGAAAAAACTATAGAGCGAGAAACGAGTCGAGTTCAAACCGTGCTTATGGACAAAAATAAGAAAATGTGCTCAAATCTGCAGTTTGTGGCCTTTCGCCGTGACACAAGTTAATGTCAATGTTTTTTAAAGTATCAAATGGTCACAAATTAAAAATGCACAGCATGAGCTCACCTAATATATTGTACAATTGCAAACATCTTGAATCTTATGAAGGTTTAAGCAAACTGAAGTGACGCTCTTTGTGCATGCCGTTAGTATTTGCTGCCTCCACGGCCTCTTTAAAACACCCACGCTTAATGCAACTGTTTAATCTCCAAACTTGATGACCTGTCTCGTTCAAAACACACCTGGAGGTTTAATAAAAAGAACAAACAGCCGACATGGTTGCATATGAAGAGCAACAAGACCATTTTAAGTCCTGTCATTACATCCACCGTTTGATGAATGTTTACAGCATTCCCAGGCGGTCCGACCACTAAAGATGGTCTATTTATCTAGCAGGAAGTGTTCGTTGTTCTATGTTAGTTATCAATAATGAATTAAATTTACAGCAGCAGACTAAGAGCGCCGAAGTTCCTCATTGGATTCCAGAGGATAACTGATGTGGTCAGAAGCGCCTGCAGTCCATCACCACAGCATGAGGTGGACTCAGTCTTACTGTGAAGACACCGTGGCCTCAAGACTCCGCTTCATCATTTGTTGTAAAACTGACACCAAACAGCCTCAACAGGAGGAAGCAGTGTCCGTTTTCTTCTTCATTATCACTTGGCTGTCCATTTCCTCCCTGAACATGTTCATTTAGGGTAAAACTGAGAGCGAACTACCGTATTTTTCATCCTATAAGTCACAGTTTTTTGCGTAATTTACATGCCTTGCGACTTATACACCAAAGCGACATATTTATGGATTTTTTTAAAACATATTTATAAATCAATATATATATTGAACACTACCATTTTCAGCTGCTAGATGGCACTCGAGTTGTATGGCATGCCGTTGTGTCATGTAATAGGTAAAGGTGGCTATTAATGACACAATCGGCTTGCCATAGCCTGCCACCTTCGGGATCATGCCTGGACTAATAATGTCGAGCAAACAAATAATTGTTTTTAAGTGTTAATCTTGTTAAATTCTTGTTAAAGTCCTCCTTTGCACGCTCCCGCGGCCGTCATTTATTCGGCAGCCAATCGATT